GGGAATTCTGGGAGTTGAAGTCCACTCATCTTAGTGGCCAAGTTTGGACAACACTGCTCTAGAGGGCTAAAGCTGTTGCAGGAACATAAAAGACAAGTGGATTTGACCAGTGATTTATCTGTTCCAATATTCTGCTCCAATAATGGCCATCAGGTGGGCTCAAGCGGAGCAACATTTTCCTAGTCATATTCCCAGCAAAGGTTACTTAGAAGCTTCTTATCTTTGAGACTAAAAGTAATATGTAGCTTTCATAACCTGTAGAATTGTCCTCCATGAATTTACCCAATCCACATTTAAAGTTGTCCATCTTGAAGTAGAAAATTCCATATTAAGTATGAGGTATGCAAAGTATTTCCATATATCTGACCTGACTCTGGTAACACTGAGTTTGATTTAACTGGTCCTAGTTATATGAGAGGGAGCAGAAACCCGTTCTGCTTTCTTTTCACCAAACATTAGTTTTATTTATCTTTATATGTACTCCCTTAGTCACCTGTTTTTCTCTTACCTAGGGTCCAAAAGGAGAGCTGGTTTGATTGAATAGTTAAGGCACCAGGCTAGAAACTGAGAAACTGAGTTTTAGTCCCACCTTAAGCACAAAGCCAGTTGGGTGACCTTGAGCCAGTCACTCTCTCTCAGCCCTAAAGAAAAGGGAATGGCAAACCATTTTTAAAAACATTGCCAAGAAAATTGCATGGACTTGTCCAGGCAGCTGCAAGGAGTCAAGTCAAGGCACCATAAGAATAAAAATATCATCATCATCATCATCATCATCATCATCATCATCATCATCACCATCATCATCATCATCATCATCATCATCATCATCATCATCATCATCACAAAACAGACCAAGTAATAGAAAATGAAGAAGCTAAAGTGCTCTGGGACTTTAGGATTCAAACAGACAAGCACTTGTCACACAACACCTCAGACTTAACAATTGTTGATAAGAAAGACAAAAAAGTCTGGATAGTGGACATTGCAATACCTGGAGACTACAGCAGCTGCAAGGAGTCAAGTCAAGGCACCATAAGAATAAAAATATCATCATCATCATCATCATCACCCTTGTCACACAACACCTCAGACTTAACAATTGTTGATAAGAAAGACAAAAAAGTCTGGATAGTGGACATTGCAATACCTGGAGACTACAGAATAGAAAAGAACTGGAGAAAATCACAAAATACGAAGACCTGCAAATAGAAGTAGAACGAAAGCAAAGAGAGTCAAAACTAGACAAGAAAGCAAAGATAGTACCAATAGTTAAAGATGCAATCCCAAAACATCTGGAGCACCATTTGAAGACCATTGGCATTGACAAAATCACCATCAGTCAATTGCAAAAGGCAGCTTTACTTGGAACATCTTACATCCTGTGACAATACCTTTAACACCATCAAACAACAACATCTGCCTATCCAAAGTCCTTGGGAAGGACTCAATAGATGGGCAAAAATGCCAGAACCAGTCTAAACCTTTGTCTGACTATGCGATCAACCATAATAATAATGTATTTTTGAAATGTTCCAAATGTAAGAGCATTTAAACTTTCACAAGAAAGGAGTGCTAAGTCCTTGATAGGTAGGAGTAGTATAGATTAAAAAAAGGCCTTTCCATTTGCAAAGGAACATACTGTATAATTTATCACCTACAATGTATTCTTTAGTTGGAAGCCAGACTGGAGATAGTTGTTCCTTGGTTATTGCAGGTGGGAGCTGAAAATAAAGGAAAAGTCTCATGAGGGCACCCTTTTTGAACTAACAGAATGTCAAATTAATTAGAGAAGTTGGGGTAATTCTTTCCTCTTCTCCTTGATTTAGCTTCATGACGACACTGTATATTGGATGGAATTTGGCTGGATGATTGTGTCCAAATGCAGCAGAGAGTGAGGACTACAATGTCAGCCTGTACTCTGGTGTCCTGTGGTAATTAATATATAAATAAGGCATTTTCATCAGCAGTCAGGATCACCCTTCTCCCTATAAGTCCTTTGCCCTTGGGGGGGGGGGGAAAGGTGTTCATCAGCATTTAGCTTAGTCCTCTATAGCAGGGTTCCTCAACCTCAGCAACTTTAAGACAGGGAATTCTGGGAGTTGAAATCCACCCATCTTAAAGTTGCTGAAGTTGAGGAACCCTGCTCTATAGAATGGACATTTCCCTTAATTGTACTACACTGCAAAGTGTAACGCCAGTAACGTCACCTCACTTGAAAGACTGGAAGTTCATGAACATATTCTTGCTCAGGGCATATTCAGGGCATGCCTCCTGATTTAAGCAATTTGGTAGGAGGGGCCTTCCTGTTAATCTATGCACCCAATGAGGAAAGAGAACAGCCCTCAGGCAGAGAAGAT